ATACGTTGCTTTGTGGTTTCTTTTACTTCTGTTTCAGGTGTAAACACTAAAGTTTGGTATGTATTCATTCAAGATTATCTGGTTTATACATTAAATACAAGAGAAATGAAACTATATTATTGTCATGGAAACTTTTAGAAATGTAAATTTATCAGTGCCTCCATTATTAACTACAATTATACTATTATAATAATATGCATACATTGAATTATTATTGGCACTGCCAGTTTTAATGCCTTTTGAATTTTACCCTTCGTTTGTAAGGTCTTTGAAATTCATGTATCTTAAAGAAATACACATCTGTGACAGGTGAGCGAAGTCGACTTAAACATGGTGCTGTCCCTTCTGTGTTTGATTTTAAGAGCACTGGTACCCAAACTTTCCAAGAGACAGAAAGATCAAAACGGATGAGGCTGCGAGCCAATATTCAACAGACTGCTCAAGACACTCATTTTTCCACAGAGGTACAGATGGATGAAATGGCTGTACATGAAGTCGTCTTGGAAGCGGCATCTTCTAGTGCCTCATCTGAGCCAAAGCATGGACGAGCAGAGTGTGCAACAGCTGAAAAGGAAGTTCAGTGTGACATTCCTACACTGGGTAAATTTTCAATTGAAGGAATGAAGCTCGACAGCAAGATGATTTCATATTACACTGGCTTAAATGGTTATGATCATTTCATGCTCATCTTTAACATTCTAGGACCAGCAGCTTTTGATTTGAATTACAAATGTGCTTTGTTAAGCCCACAAGACCAGTTTTTTTTAACTTTGATTAAACTCCGACAAGCAAAAGAAGATGTGGAGCTTGCTATGCTTTTTAAGGTTTGTGAATCAACTGTGTCAAAGATTATAACAACTTGGATCAATTTTTTGTACTTTCAATTTAAGGAGCTAGAAGAACAATTCTGGCCCTCAAAAGATATCATTAAGGAACACATGCCAACCGATTTTGCAAAAAAGTTTCCCAATACGCGCATCATCTTGGATGCAACAGAACAACCGATCCACAAACCCTCAAATCTTGAAGCTCAGTCCAAAACATGGTCTTCCTATAAGCACAAAAACACCCTTAAAACCATGGTTGGTATAACTCCTAATGGAGCAGTATCTTACATATCTCCTGCTTATGGGGGATCTGCATCAGACCGACAAATTATTGAAAGGTCTACCTTATTAAATCAAGATAAATTTGATTCTGGTGACAGCATAATGGCAGACCGTGGAATATTAGTTCAAGATTTATTTGCAAATCAAAATATTTCTGTTAACACCCCTACTCTTCTCAAAGGTAAAAGTCAGCTTAGCCCGGAAGACATAGTAAGAGACAGAAGAGTTGCTTCTAAACGCATTCATGTTGAGAGGGTCATTGGTCTTGCCAAGAGGTTTAAAATTTTGAAACATGAGCTACCAATGTCTAAAGTTCCCTTAGCTTCCAGAATTGTGTACATCTGTTTTATTTTGTCCAATTTCAGAAATTGTATTGTTGATAAAAGTGCCTGATCTAGACAATATTGAGTATACAGTAAAACACTCTTATAGTGACAGGAACATACAATTTTACTTTTTTGAATGTAATTTGGTATATCTGTAAAGTTAATGATATTTTTAAACCCATAGAAAATTAATAGACTTTTCTGCAGCAGATATATGTGAGAAATTTGTCTTGTGCATCAAATTAATCTCAGGAGAGATTTTTTCAGCATATTTCAACATAACATTGTCAAGTATTTTCAAAATTTTCATATTTCTTACATTTTGTGTGTTTTTGGACAAATAAAAAAAGAAAAACCAAACTTGTTTGAAAATATTTTTTATGCAACAAAAATATTATTTTTACTCAAAAGTGTGCCATTAACAAAAAAAAATCCTAACATTTTACATGTACATGTAGATGTTGTTTTTGAAAATAATCAGGAAGCTTTTAACATTCTTTGACACTCCAGCATATTATACATATTGAATTTTCTGTATTTCGCAAAAAATTGTGAAATTCTACAGGGTACAATACCATAAATATCCAGTAGCTACATAAGGAATATATGTATGGCAGAAAATCTTTCAGGTACAATAGCATAAAATTCAAGTAGCTACTTAAAGAATAAATGTATGGCAGATGTGTGCCAGTATAACAAATATTGCATCAGTTTAATTTACAATGAAGATGACAAAAAAGGCCGAAAGTGCTGTACATAAAACAACTCTAACTTTGGCAACAGTGATCCTTCACAATATTCTTGGTCAAATTCAATTTTCTGCACAAATACATCCTTAAAAGTATAAACTACTAAATAACAGTATTTTCTCTTTGAAATATACAGCTGACCTTGTATTTGGAAGTAATACTTCGAATGATGTTTTAAAACAATCTGACCCTTAGTATTAAATTCAAGGAAACTAAAATGCTTTCCAGGAAAAATCTTTTCATTTCTACCACTGTATGGACACTTGACCTCAATCAGAGAATCCTCTGATATTAATCCATCAGGTGAAGCACCTAAATAAGGCTTTTGTACACAGACAAAAAAACCACAGCACTTTACTTTTAAACCAGAATCGGTTTCAAACCGACGTATCGCTTTAGTTTCATATACTCTACCATGTGAGGTAGCCTCGTTACGGAAAGAAACTGCTGAATTCACAAGTGATTGGCATAATTTGGTCTTATTTCTCCTCTGTGTAGCCAAACAAATGTCCCCAAATCTAGAGGAGGTCAGCCGCCATTTACGTTCCTCAAACCAAGACTTCGAAGATGACTGGCCTCTTGTTTTCTCTTCAATTGCAGCAGCTTCCCTTTCCGTAACCTATTGAACCATAAACAAAATGTTTCAGACAAAGTTAAATTTTCTTTTGAAAAAGTGCAATATTGGATTTAAAAAATTGGGTGTATGGTAAAACTTAAAACTTCATTAAAATAAATCAATGACATTTTGGGGATGTGTAAATGACTTACTTGTAGAGCACAGTCTATCCAGTACTCAGTGATAGGCTTTTCAAGATAATCGTGATCCAGTGTAGCTGTCTATCCAATAAAAACAATGTACATTTGATATCAAAACATCTTATTAATAATTTTTTTTAAGTTTAACATTTTAAAGAACTAATAATATGTGTATTAAATAAAAAATAAAATAGATTGTATTTACATGTACCTGCATATCTGCCTTAGAATGTAGATATCGATAGGTAAGATTTTCTGATGTCATGGAACAGTAGTTAAACACGAGGTTTCTGGTCCTATCTGGAAATCCAGCATTGTTCCTGTATTTAACAGGTCTGGGGTCTGCAAATATATCCTCAGTCAGCCCTCTTTTCATTGGCAGCTCCTCAGCTTTCACTGGTGAACCTGCAATGATAGATGTACTTTTTCATATGGAATTTCACTGATTGGACAAGTATTTAATTTTGAGGGGCAAAAGAAAAGAACTCACTGATTTCATACATTGTTCATTATTTAGACTTTTCCACTACACATTGGATTTTAAACTTAATATTTTTAATGTGGATAAAAAAAGAATGACAGTACACTTTTTAACATATTGTCATCCAATTTATGACATTCTTGTAAAGTATTGCTTAATGTACTTCAATTAATACTTACCATTGTAACTGTACCGAGGTTTATGAAAGACTTGCAAGTTTTCAGTACAGGACTTTTCAATGTACATCTCGTCTCCTGACACAAACTTTGAGAGCATGAGAGCAACTGCTGCAACATGTTTACACGTACCATGAGGTCCACGGCCAGCAGGGCACTCGCAGTGTGAGTTAAGGATATCACCAGTCACTTTATCAAGTTTTAACTTGAAAGTGTAAGATACCTGGTAATGTAGATTATATAACAAGTGTTACCTGGTATATGTGTGTACATTGTGGTCTTGAAAACATTTTTTGTGATTTGGAGGAATTCAAATTGACTTTGACTGTATAAAGTAAATTGTATAGTTTGCAAAGATATCAGTAGTTCTTTAGGTAATTATTAACTTCTTCAAATTCAACATTTTACCTTATTTTTCATGGATGCTCCAACAATACCGGACAGGTACATATCACCATCTTCAAACAGAAAGGAAACTGCTTGAATTCGCCTACTTTCCACCAGGTTTCGGCCTTTCTCAATCGCCTTTACATCCCCAGAACATTGTTTGTCACCTGTGTAACAATCACTTACTAATTGAATCATTTTTTAAATTTTTAAGATACGTGTATAAATAGATCAAATGATGTTAATATTCTGCAGGTCCAGGAAAATCACTATATTTAGCTATATAGGTAAATCTACCTATATAGCTTTATTTACCTATATAATATAGCTATATTTAGCTATTTCAGAGTAAATTTCTGTTTTATGAAAAGCAGACAAAAAGTCGCATAATGAGGCAGTAGTAGTTTTCAACTTTGAAATGAACTGAAAACAATTCACCAAAAACCCACTTAAAAAAAATGTTTCTCCTTTTGGGCAATTGCAATCAAAGATCTAAAAGTTTTGGGGCTATGTATAACAGTTAATCTATGGGTAAGCAGCTACTTTAACAAAGAAAAGCAGTTTTGGTCAACAAGATAATTGATTGGTAATAATTGAGCACAATGCAAGGCAATCACACTTAGTCATGCCTCATCGCACTTCCAGCTATCCAAACAATAGAAATGTATTTTTTGGGTAAAAAGTGTTTATAAGAGGCAATGTTTTTACTGTCTATGCCATAGGTTGTTTTTATCAAACCTTTTAAAAAATATATCAGCCATAATTTACATGCGACTTTTTGTCTGCTTTCCATAAAACAGAAACTTATTCCAAAATAGCTAAATATAGCTATATTTTATAGATAAATAAAGCTATATAGGTAGATTTACCTATATAGCTAAATATAGTGATTTTCCTGGACCTGTTCTGAGTTATTACTAATAATTATTAAACATCTAAATTAATTTATTAAATAAATTACCGGCCAATCTGTGTACAAAATACAGATCAATTTGTTCCAAACAAAGTTGTGGAATAATCGGTCCTACTAAAATACGCCTGCCGACGCCTGCCAAGGTAAAATACGCCTGCGGAGAAAAACTATACGCCTGCCGTTTTATTCTTTTATATTCTTAATTTATATATATATATTTTACTTTTTTGGGCTATTAACATTATATTTCGCAACTTTATTTTATTTTTCTTTTCTAAAATTAGTCTATACAAGAACAAGAAAACTACGTACGAAACGCCTGCCGTGGTGCTTTTCAATATACCAGACTGGCTCCTAAATACATGAAATATAACAGGCCTTTCTTCTTTTTTTTTTGACATGGTTAAAAAATATTTCAAAATGTTTAATATAGATCATGATTTCATAATTTATAATTGAATAAATTAATCCGTATTAGGTATTTACAATAATTATGAGCGCTAAACGTAATGACAAGAGAGACAACTCTAATTGGGAAATCGGTACAACAGTTAGTTGGAAGTCGTATAATTCATTAAATATTTTTGTGTTTAATATTTTAATTTGTATTGCATAAAATGGCATCAAAGACATAATTTTTTATTATTATTATTATTTTTTTTTTTTACAGATTGGTGCATTCCATATAGTACAGAGGTCTTAGACGAAGCAGTCCAAGTTTTTTTGTCAAATGTTTAAATGAATAAATGATTGAATTGTTTGCATTTGGTGGATTTATTTCATCTTTTATAGGAAATAAATATCATGAATGTACAAGTATGAGAGACGAAAAAAATTAAACATAGTCACACATATTCAAACATTTAGTCTTATTTCACAAAACCCCAAGAACATCCAACTTAGACCTGCTTTGAATACATGACATACTTTAATATGAACTGGCTATATATTTTTTTCATGAAGGATTCAGTATCTTGAGATGTATTATTTCATGTGATTTACAAAAGAATTCTTTTTTGTCGTTGTTTCTCCTTTAACACACTCAAATGCCACATATACACAAAGGGAAAAATTCGGAATTAATCAAAAAGACACATTTTATGCGAAGTTTTAAATATTATAGATGAGATATGCGATGATTCAAATAATTAATGTACATGAAAAAATTAGGTCTGTTGGAAACACGTTTTCTGGGTATAACAGGTGTAATTAACAACAGCAATAAGTACGGAAAATTGGGAAAATTAATTTATGCATATTGCGTATCTAGTGTTTTATTGAAATTTTTTATTTCTTTTCTATATTTTTCTTTAGTCATCTAACATTTTTTTTTTTCAAACTTGGATGGCTTGGGATGAGCACGTAATTGGCTTCGGCACGTTTATTAAAAAAACACTGAGTGGTTTCTTTGTGATTTTAACATGCCTATACCTACAAACTTAATTTCCCTAATTGCTTGGACATCCAGTTAATGAAAACTATAATTAAGTTGCGCGAGTGGAAAAAGTTCATTATTGATCTAAATGTTAAGTAAAATTTTATTGGATATTTGTGAAGTTAGTATGAAAAATGAGTTATTCAACAAATTCATCAAATTTACGCCACGATCAAATACAGTAGAGTCCTCAGATGGCCAACTCCAAATTCCTGCCGCAGCTCGACTTGCTAAAAAACCTGGTCAGATCAAACGCGTGCGAAATGTTAAAACCCAGTCGATGAACAAGCGGCCCAAGATATAAGTTATCGAACAGACTAAACAGCTGCATGTGTGCTTGTACATGTAAATACACATTTTTTATAATTTGCATTTCTTACTAAGTTTATCTTTTATAAGTAAGTAAGAAATAAATTATAATGAAATATACAAGTTATATTCTCCTCCGCTTGACGGCTGTGTAGAAATAGCTTGTACTTAATATGTAAATACTCAGTACTTTAAAGACGCATGTATAAATATGTTTTGGATTTAAATATTTCTCATTTATTTATGGGAGATTTTTTTTCTAATTTCAACGGTACTTATTCAGCTTGAACAAATGCAAAAAACAGCAAAGTGCAGTTGAAATAGGGAAAAAAATCTTTCGTAAGTAAATAAGAAATTAATTTAACATTTTTTCCTTTTTTATTTATGAAATGCTTTTTTTCTTATTTTAACTGTACTTATTGCGACACTGCTGCATGCCTTATACAATCGCCAAAAAGTACAGTTAAAATAAGAAAAAAAATCTCATGAATAAAAAATGGGGAAAATTATAAATTATTGGACAAGTTATATCCTCCTCCGCTAGACGGCTGTGTAGGAATAGCTTGTACTTGTGTTCATATGTAAATAATTCTTATTCTAATGATAATATCCTTCATATAAAAATTCCTAGGAATTCAATCTAGTAAAATTAAATTAAATAATAAAAAGGCTCAATAATGAGGATACCTCCACGTGGTTTGAGCTGGGCAATGTCACTCTTGTGATAGCTGACATCCTCAAGTTGCAAATATATAAATAATATATATATATATATATATAGATTTATATATATGTATATTTATTCAAAGAAAATATCATATGTAAGAAAAAAACTTCTTTAAAAAAAACTTTCCCATTTGCATATTAAATAAAAGAATCAAAGAAGGCAAAAACGTATTCGGATAGATACAGGCTAACCGGATCCGGTTCCTAAATAAACGCTATTACGTTTTTAAACAAAAACATATTCTTTAATGCAATTTTATAATTTTTTTCTCATGAAATATTATTTTCTTGGTCAATGGAAGTTATATATCGTGAAAAAATGAAAAAAAGTTAAGGAATAAAACGGCAGGCGTATAGTTTTTCTCGGCAGGCGTATTTTACCTTGGCAGGCGTCGGCAGGCGTACTTTAGTGTTACCCGGAATAATCTTTCTGTGGATCTCTGTGAGTTGTTGGAATCCTTTTGAAGGCCATGAAACTTCCAACGGTGTTGGTAACAAGATAGGTTCACTTTCAAAATTTCTGTTTCTCTCGTATGCTCTTAACCTAGTTTAACATATAAGCACTTCATTTAATAAATAACGCATTTTCATTTACATCAAAAACGATAACTGTAGGTTCAAGGTTGAACTAAACTTGATATGTTTATAATTTATTTTTTATTGACAACGCAACTTAATAAATGTTTTCATGAGTGATTCGCGATACATATAAATAATTACTGTATGTCCTGTACCTCTCTATTAAGTCTGCCTTTCTGCCTTTCGTCGTTGCTCCTCTGGATATAAGTTCTTTTTTTAATTTCTCTACAGTCCATGATTCTATTGCCTTGTTAAAGTCAAAATCGGCGCCTTTGCAAGAATCCATTTCCAAGCGTTTGAAAGATAAAGCGTTTGCGTCATACCCCTTATTTAACATAACAGAGAAAACCGAAAACGGCGATGGCGTAAACCATTCATTTGATGCAAATTTTAAATCATCAGCCATGGAACAAAAAAGATTACTAGAAATTGCAATTTCTGATTCATCACATCCCTCAAATACTGTGTTGAATAAACCTTTAAATATCGAAGAGGTCAGAAAAGTTGTTTATAAAACTAAAAATGGAAAATCATGTGGGGTTGACGAATTACCTAACGAAATACTGAAATATGAATCGGTAGTTAAGGTCATGCACAGACTATTTGCAAGTATTTTCCAAAGTAATATCGTCCCAACAATTTGGAAAAAGGCTATTATTTTTCCAATATTGAAAGATTCAAATTCTGATCCGAGAATTCCCATGAACTACAGAGGAATAAGTCTCCTGTCTGTTGTGTCTAAAGTATTTAGTTCCGTCTTAAATAACAGGCTGTCAAACTACTTAGAAGATAATCAAATACTTGTTGATGAACAAAATGGATTTAGAAAGAACAGAAGTTGTGAAGATCACATCTTTACTTTGAATAATACAAAACAGAGATTCTACATTTGTTACATTTATCGATCTCCAGAAAGCTTTCGATAAAGTGGACCGGGAATTATTAGAATTTTGTTTACTACGTAACGGAGTGGAAGGAAATTTTTATAATACTCTGAAATCATTATATTTAAACACGGAATCCTGTGTAAAGTTATCAGGGTACTACACGGATTGGTTTCGCTGCACCTCTGGAGTCCGTCAGGGAGACAACCTCTCCCCAACACTCTTTGCCTTATTCATTAATGACCTGGCTAAAGAAGTTAACTCCTTCGACAGAGGCGTTAAAATGGACACTACTGTTCTAAACATTCTCCTCTACGCAGATGACATAGCACTTATTGCTGGCAATGAAAAGGATATGCAGGATAGTCTAAACGTTGTCTCGACATGGTTCAAAAAGTGGCACCTAACGGTAAACTCAGAAAAATCTAAAGTTGTGCATTTTCGAAAAAGGAATCTCTTGCAGAGCGACTACAAATTCTATCTCGGAAACACTAATCTGGAGTATGCTTCTTCTTATAAATATTTAGGTGTTATATTTGATGACAACAGGGGATTCAAGACAAACATAGAAAACCTTGCAAAATCAGGAGGCCGCGCATTTGGAGCAATGATATCAAAGATTCATCATCTCAAACACGTTGGATTCAACACATTTGAAACGCTTTTCCACAACTGTGTCTCTCCTGTAATAGACTATTGCAGCGGTGTGTGGGGATATGAAACATCGCACAAAATAGATATGGTACAGGATCGGGCTCAACGATACTTCCTCGGGGTTCACCGATTAACACCTCTCTTGGCTGTACGTGGTGAGTGTGGGTGGTCAGCTGCCAGTCTGCGACACAAAACTAACATGGTGCGACTATGGAATAAACTGATCCTCATGGATGACGATAGGATTACAAAGAAAATATTTATAGCGTCTTGTAATGAAAATAATTCCCGAAGCTGGTATCATCATAAGAAAATTCTCTTTGAAAACACAGATTTAAACCACATTTTTCAAAACATGCAGTTTTGCAACACCCATATTTTTATTCAGAAACAGATTTCAAATCAACAATCCAAATGGCAATCCGATATTCAAAAATCAGCAAAATTACGGACGTACTGCATTATTAAGGAAGAATACGGTCTTGAACAATACGTTGCTATGGACTTGCCGAAACCAGTTAGGTCTACAATGGCGCAATTCCGGTGCGGGGTGCTCCCTCTGCGTATCGAGACTGGTCGCTACCGCGGAGAGCCAATTCCAGATAGAATATGTAATCTCTGTGATTTGAACGAAGTAGAGGATGAACTTCACTTTCTTCTTAAATGTGATCTATATAAATTCTGTAGACAGGACTTTCTAGGAAATATTGGAATTTCAAATTTACAATATAATGATTTAAATGTTCTCTTTAAATATCTGTTAACTCACTTCCCTCGTCAATCTGCAAATTTTATTTATAAAGCCTATAATTTAAGACAAAGAAAAATCACATGCATGTAAATTGTAATGTATATAAATTGTTAAAAGTGACTTATAGGTCCGATGGGCCGGGTGTTGAACATATATTATGTTTAATTGTATAACGAATGTTAAAAATAACTGTATATACACATGTCACTATAATAAAATATTTACTTACTTACTTACTTACTTACTTACATAAACAGAAGTCTGAAGAACAAATAAATAAATATGGTTGTCTTAGTTAATTTAATTCTTTTAAAGAATTCCAATAGACTTGTCATATTTTATCTCAATTAAGGAATACTTGTCATTACTAGTCATTGAAATCACTACATGTGATTTTTGATTCCCCTTCAACTTTGAATGTTTCGGAATCACATGTTTATCAAATGATGACAAGTTTTTCCTGAGTAAGTCGATCTTTTATTTTTGATGGAATGTTTTTGCTATTTGTTAACTTAAATCCATGGGCAAAACAAGATCTGACGTTGGTTTTCATGAATTGTCCAGTGCCCTGGAAAGAACCCCGGCATTTTTTGAAGATTTCCATTTCGATTTCTTCTCCACAGAGGTTGTGGATTCTGCAAACCGAAACTTCTGTGGCAGAAACTTTTGTCAAAACCATGTCGTCTTTCGAATATTGCCTTCTGTCTCTTCCAAATTGTTTTGTGAAAACCTGTAAAATGTGTGTGAATTAACTCTCATTTAAGCGGAATTATATTTTTGTCTCTTAAAACAAAACAAAAATATATCTAAATTTTTCTAAGAGAGGAATTGTCTGTTGATCAATTTTGAGGAATATCATTTTTTACGCATAATTATTAAATTATCATGCATGTACCAGGTACATTGTTTAATAAAGAAAAAATATCTAATTATTATATAAGATGTACATCAGTTAAAATAAGCCTATCATGCGGAACATATGGGAAATCTGCCACGGCCAGTATCCATTCATCTACACTGTTTGAAATTCTGCTCTCTCTCATACTTTTGATAAATTTGCTGAGCAAAATGAGCATGAATTGATAGAACGTGTACGAGGGTTGTCTGTAAAGCTCGCCGAGAAGCTAAAATTAAAATGAAAGTTGAGTCCTTGATATTTATTATTAACATATTTATTTTCTTTACTAAATCTTAATTATAAAAATGTCAAATTATATTCATTGTTAGATTCAATGTTAAATGAATAAATACTTGTGATGGTGACCCAAAGCTCCGCAAAGTACATTATAATGTAAATTATCACTTTACTAATTTTCATTTGTAACTTGTAAGATTCGGCGGTAATGCGGATGGTTTTGACATTATGAGAAGGAAAAAAGTTATAACATCAAGGAGGAGTGAACATCCCCTGCTGACCTGTCACACCTGACATGTGCTCATTATCATGATCGTAAGGTAACAGAAAAAGTCGTTGCATGTCAATTCAGTGTATAAATAATGGACTAACAAATTTGTATGAAAAACATCAGTCAGCATTTGACTCAATTATCAATTTGTATGAAAAACGTCAGTCATTATTTGAATCATGTTTGACTTGAATAGATACGTCTGTTCTTGAAAAGATTTTTATGTTCTCCTTTCTAAGAATTTTAAAAACTTTGGCTTCACTTATCCCATGGGATCATGATTCAAATTAACCTGATTAAGCAATACCTAAGGCTGCCTCAAAATAAATATAATTTTTCATTGAATACTGTAAGACATTATATCTTAAGGTATGTCACTCGTGAAATTTGTTATACATATAATGCTAATCTATTAAATATGTTAAGACATATGAAGGGCAAAACCCCTTTCACCTCTTTGAATTGGGACCTCTTTTCTTTGTACTTCTCAATGAGTTCCAATTCTTTTTCACTTAAAGTTGACATTGGATTTAGAGACAACGTTGGTTTAAGGGAAGGCCAAGCTTCATCATTTTGAGCCATAATTTCAATATTAAAGAACTCATTCCACCAATCTGTGCAGTTGTTGGTAAATTGTGCTAGATTGAAATCTTTCTCTAGAGATCTAAAACGAAAAAAAATGTTTTTAAATACTAATTTAATTTAGTACAAAACAAATTCTTTTTCTCAATCAGAACAGCAAAATTGAAAATGAATATAAAATACAGTATATAATATACCCCGATACATATACACTCTTAGGTTTATCTTGATGTCTCCAAGGCTATTGGTATTTCATATAATACATGATATATAATATATGAAATATTTATATTTAAAAAAAACTTCTTTGAGTTTAATTGTAATTAATAAAAATATATTTATGTTTAAAATTGTTTTAATCTGAACCTTTTCAGTGTTTGAATATCTTCTTCTGCCATAAACGGTTGGACTTTATCGGGGTGACCTGGTGGTGTAACTTGGCATCCAACACTGTCTAGTTTGAAGATTTCAATTGGTCTTTCATTTGGAGTTGGGTGCCACTGGTCCTCTGTAGAAAGTTTTTTGTACTGCATATACACATGACCAGTTCCATCCTTTTGAACTCTTCAACGAGAGCATGAATTGTTAAAAAAAACCCACATATATTGTTCGGAACTAAAATGCAGTAAAGCTTGTTAAAACAATGAGATATCGAATATTGATAAATACCTGTACATTTTTGGAAAGGTAATGTTGTGAACCTGATTAATATATGGTTCTAACCATCCAGAGATGTTCCATACAGTACTTATTCTGGAAACGTTTGGTTGTGGTGTTTGGGAACTAATAATCAGGTCTTCCAAATGGGGCATTGTAAGAGCATCCTTTTCTTTTAACTTCTGACTGATTTTTGAAAAACACTGATCTACATCTTCATGTGTATGCCCAACAAGTAAGAAAGACATATAAACCTGGAAAGAAATTTCCAAACCATATTTATTAAGTAAGCCTTTATTATAAAAATTTTCATGCACTTTTTTCGGGTGAAATGAAATCATGAAGAGTTGTATAAACATAATTAGGCTAGCGATTTAAGATTTTTTAATTCAATTTAATTTTAATGTTGAAAATTTCACTTTTCAAGACAAAACATTTGGGGATAACTTAATGTATTTAATATTCAAAGTCCATAAACCAATACAAATCGGAGCTGAGCAAACAGCAAAATCAAATTATTAAGAATGTGGATATATTGACATTTTGTTTGTTGCATAATTTTCTGTAATAAACCAGCTGCAAGCATTTTGCATTCTTTTATGTTAATTTTGGATCTTTATATCTGGTTAAGTAGGAAAATTGAACATGGCATACAGCTTACCTCCTTCACAAAGTCATGTTTCACAAGGTAAGCCATCATCCCTAAAAAGTATTTATTTTTGTTCTCCCTGAAAATGGAAAGTTCATGCAAAATTATAATGGAAGTAGAATTGTATGCATTAGAGAAACAAGAGGCCCACAAGCTACATTGCTCACCTGATCATATACTGTACATGCATTGGCTAGAAAATGCCCAAATCATTTAAGTATTGAAAAGTAGGGCTTGAATTTTACCCAACCTGAGAATACTTGCATATCAACAACAATGCATTTATTGTTCTTGAAAAGATTTTTCCTATATATTCCCATGAAAAAAATTATTGCCATTCTGGCCCCTCCCTACCCCTGGAATCATGATTTAAAACAAATGTGAATCTACACATTCAACCTAATGATACAAGTTTCCATATCAATATGTATCAAAATGTGGTTCCGACCTACCCCTGGGGGTCATGATTTGAATAAAAGAGTCTACACTACATGTACATCAGGATGCTTTCATATAAGTTTCATCTATCCTGACCTAGTGTTTCTTAAGAAGAGGATTTTTAAAGATTTTTCCTATATGTTCTTATGTAAACTTTTTTTTGGATTTTTTGTTGTGACCACACTTCTTTTTCCGGGGGTTATGATTTAAACAAACTTGATTCTGCAATACCCGAGGTTCCCTCTTTTTTAATTGTTATGTGAAATGACAAATTGTGATAAAGACTTAAGAGCAGATATCGAATACAAAATTCATTCTACTATTTATAATTATGTAAATAGGATTAGTTTTTGTACCTTGCTGTGTTATCCAGTTGTACATATAATGTTGGTGGCAATATCCCATCCTATGATTCATTAGATAATATTTTCATCAAACAAGACAAACTCAAGTTTGTGTCATGTGGAACCTGTCCGTGGTCAATGAAGAAATACTTTCCTCTCCCGTGAACAATACTCCCGGTTATATGGGTTCTTAGCTTCTGTTGACCTGCACCCTGTTTGAATGAGGGTTTATTTCATAAAAATGACGGAAAAGTATTGACTTGGTCTAGATATGTATTTCATGAACCATATTTTTAGACTTATTAAATATATCAATCTAATTATTTTCTTTTTTTCAAAGACTTAAATTATGTAGACTTCGTATTAGAATAATTATATTCATGGGACAGCAGTGCAAAGAACAGAGGGTGGTGTGGTTATAATCTGCAAACTACTTGATTTTTAAAAACTTAAGGCGAAAACAAATCAATAGCACATACACTGGGATTGCTCCATTTGCAGTAATGTGGCAAATCTGTCTTATTTTGATCCATCCCATCTATTATTAATGATATTATCTCTTTCGGTCTCATTTCCGCCTGTCCTCTCCGCACATAATAAGCTTCTCTTTCCATTCTAAAAAAAGCAAAAGAAGTATGATATGAAATCGTATTTTATGTTTATCTGTTATTTGTTTTTCGTTTGTGTGTTTTTTTTTTTTTTTTTTTTTTTTTTTGCGAAATGGGATAAAAATCAAAACGTTTTGCAAGTCATATAAGGGAAATGGTGTATAAATTATGATATAATAATTTTATTCGTTGTTTGTTAAAGAGCTTTTTAAACTAGTCTTACTGTTGTTCTTTGAGGTGCAGGTTTCGCATTGCAATGTACTCAGATTTCATTTGAGGAGCTTCCTCTTTTTCGATTAGGCATCGGAAATTGTGGCAATCCGTACATTTTGTAAAGCGTTGATTCTGAGAAATGAGAAAACAAACTTCTTTAATAACGGAGCATGTCAAATGACTGCAATTTGATGACAGTTTTTAGAATATTTTTACACCAGTACCTTACAAAAGATTAAGTTGCGGAACTTCGAGTCTAGAATTTCGTAAAATTTGCTTTTTCCAATACCGTCTTTGTGGATAGTATGGTACAAACGGTGCAAGTCTAGTTTGGTGAGTCCACCAGGCATCCTAAATATATTGCCAGTAGGATCCCTATCACAAGCTGCATTTATGTATGCCGCGATGAAACCCTCACAGACACGACCTAAATAAGTGAAATACAATCATCATGTATATTATATATATATATATATATATATATATATATATATATATATATATATATATATATATATATATATATATATATATATATATATATATATATATATATATATATATATTAAAAAATGGTAAAATGAAAACACAAAAATCCTCAGTTAAGCTTTAGCGCTTTCATTTTCAAGCTTCTGAAGATTAAAAATGAAAGCGCTAAAGCTTAACTGAGGATTTTTGTGTTTTCATTTTACCATTTTTTAATATTGTTATCCGATTACTGAGACATTATTTAAATTTTGGATATATATATATATATATATATATATATATATATATATATATATATATATATATATATATATATATATATATATATATATATATATATATATATATTAAAAAATGGTAAAAAGAAAACACAAAAATCCTATATATATATAGGCATTCCTATTTCAGTCGGAAATAAATACAAAGAATGTATTTCTTGCTGAAAAATTGACCAATATAATCCTAAGATTATTATTAAATTAATTCAATAGCAATAATCCCGTGATATTTTCAAATCTGAATCAGCTGATCACCAAACGCTATGGAGTCTAGTACTGGTGAGGCCACGCCACGGATTGATGATATTGAGATCGGTGTTAAAGGGGTAAGTAGTTAGGCTTGCACATGAAAAATCAGTTAAACAATATAATAAAAGTATGATATTGTGAGTATGACTAATTACTACAAAATTCCATTGGGTTTTATAGGCATACACATGCTACGAAGTTTTTCAATCCGAATTTCCTCTAAATTTACGGAAGTCAGAAATAAAAGTCGCAGTGTATTTGACGAGATTATCTGCAAGCAATTAATCATAGACTGAGGTGTAATGAACAAAACGTAATAATTAATCCAATGCAATAGTTGATTTTATGTTAATGAATCTGGTGTAAATATTTTTTAATGCGAAAGTTCTTAAACTCTATAAAAACTTGTGCAGAAAAATGAATTTGTGTATGTACAAAAATCATTTTGAAATAGCTAAAATAATTATGATATTTAGGAGAGAGGACCTGTGCTTGAAAATATGCATACATTTATTTTAAAACTTTTTCACTACATATTCTTTTCCTTGTTTGATGAATAGCGTCTACATAGTGGAAAATTGTGTATACAAAGTAGTTTGTATGTCCTTAGCTGCAGATTTGTAGCTCTCCAAAAAAAAATATATTGATAGACTGGAGAGCTACAGTGCCAGTGCCACCCATTGAAAAAAGTGTATATATTTATTGCGCACAAAAAAGTGTGCTCAGTTCTTGATTTCTTCCAAATTCTTACCTCAATTACAAAAAAGGAAAAATAAAAAAAAAATTCCTTTATCCTCAATCAAGTACTCTCATAGTTGACATCTGTCAACAAAGCGTATGGGACCGAATTATCTTTGAAACAAAAATGGCAGTATAAATAAGCGAAATGTTCGATGACTACAATATCAGGGTCAGGAGGACTATTAACAACAATTATAAATGAGGAATGTTTGGTTGTGGAAACAGCGAAAGAATATGTTAGGAACACATGGTTAGTAATATGTTAAGATTACAGTTTTAAAAACATGGAGAAATAAATTGAGAACCAAGCGCTCTTTTTTGTGCGCAATAAATATACAGTTTTTTCAATGGGTGGCACTGTATCTCTCCGTCTATCAATATATTTTTTTTCGGAGAGCTACAGATCTGCAGCTAGACTACGTATGTCCTGTATGTAGAATTTATTTTTTTAATGTACTTGAATCCATTTATACCCTTGCAAATAAGATCTCAATTCAATTAGATACACAACCTTTAATCAATAGGAAGTCTTTATAATTACCGGGTATATATGCTATAAATAATTATTTGTGTTTTTCCCAAATTTTAAAAAATTGTGGGAGATTAAAAAAAAAATAATATTAAGGTGATCAATTATCAATGAATAAATCTTGTCTTCTTTGTACTTTTATAGAAATGGAGTTATATGAACAGTCCACAGTTTTGTTGCTTCATCACCGCACACAAGAATCTAGATCTAATTCATTCATATGAAGACGCCAACACGTACCAGTGAAGGGCTGCATATTTTAACCTGTACTCAGCACTAAAGCCTTTGAAAAGTGAGAGATCTTTTTCGTACCAACACCTACATGAATTTTACTGCGACACTGGAACTTGGTTTATATGCATGGTTTCATTCAAAGGACCGGACAATCTACATACAGTGATGTCGGAGACTGATGATTCAAACAAAATTCTGCTTTTTAAAAAAGACAAGTGTTCTTCATTCCTAAAAGTAGAGGGCAAGGACAGTAGAGGACATGAACAGTATGATGTAATGGTGGATTTATAACTTACAATAAAAAAAATTCTAGAAAGTGAATTTGTTGAAAGAAACTACTGGTGATAAAGAAAAAAAACTTCATTTGTTCTTGCGAACACCCTGATTCTATTTATTTTTTTATTTGACTTTATTAATGACATATTATAATACAAGTGAAAAAGAGTGAATATGGGACATGAATTGTAAAACTATTAATCTAATAATTCCATGATTACACTATTTCATAAAATTCTAAAAGATGTTATGGGACACTTTGTAATTTCATTTATATTATAATTTCATTGGTTAACTTGGCACTGACTATAAATAATTTGTAATTTTTATACACTGGAAATTTTGTTTTTATTGTTTCCATGAAGTTAAAATTTTACATGTGTACTTTGTTGTTCTACAACAAACATAAAATAATCTTTATTTTAATTGTCTCCTACTTCAAAAAATATATTGTGCCCTAATACAGCTTCTAAGGAGTGGTAGAAGAAAAATTTGGTAAAGATGATATAAGATTTTGCTAAATTTTCAGAAAATGAACATTTTACCAAGGCGGTTAATTAAGACAGAACAGAAAAACTGATAGAAAATGTTACTGTAAATTTTATGTTAAAGCATGTTAAGTTTCATTTTTAAAATTGCAAAATTTGTTTTGTACGGTACTTAATTAACAGTTTTAATTTCACATGTATATCATCAAGATGAAAAGAATTATCTGGCTAGCAGCAAACTCTTAATCTATCATGGTACACTAGAGCATATAATATTATATAAATATTGGATGATTTAAACTACTGGCTTAAACAATTAGGAAAATGTATTTATTACACTGTCTAGTATCATGATATAAGGGAAGAAATATCTACACAGTAAAACATGGTTATAACGAACACGCTATAAGGCCAAAAGAAAATATACTCTTGTTTCCTGTCCCCTGACCAAAAAAATTAGGGTAGGTAGGTTAGGGAAAACAATTTATTTTGGGAAAAAATTTTATTTTCAAAACTCAATGAATGCAGAACTGCCAGAACATATATAGTATGTAATAACAAGAAAGTTTGTTAATAAAGATTTATAAAGAAAAGGTATCCTGTACACTTATGATGTATTAGTTCTGTTAATGTTGTTGGTCAACTTTAGCACTTTAGGAAAATAGTAACCCAAAAAATGAAAATGTATTAAAAACTTTTTGGGTCGGAGGGTAAAATGTAGGGTAGGACAGGTGACAGGAAACAAGAGTATTTTTTATTTCGGCCTAATGAATTCATGCTGATGATGGAGTCATTTTCATTCCCTGTACTGGTTTTAAAATCCTATGGATAGTGAACACAATTTTAAAATGTCAAAAAGTGTGTTTCCCAGGCATTTAAAATACTACAAGCTTATTTTTCTGTGTATTTAAATGATTTACTTCAGTCTAAAATACCCTACAAAACAATGTGTTACACCCACAATCAGTCTCTTATTGCAGATTTATAAATATGGAATTTTCCAATTAAAGTTTTTAATGAATTAAATCCAAATAAAGAAATGTTATTATTTAAATTCAAAATATTAAGAATTAAATGAATCAGGACACACCGGTATTACTATTTTTGTCATTACAATTCATTAATCTTGGCACATCAGTGAAAATTTTACCAGTCATCAATAAGTGTTTGATATTCTTTTTCAAGTGATCTAAAAAATCTATTTTTAGAGTATTCATGAAAATGCAATTAAGAATACAGAAATATTGCCTATTTACATAGAATGTTGGTGTCCTCAAAAATAAAATATCAGGGGCAGTATTTTTTTTTTAAAATGTATATACTATAAGAGGCCCATGGGCCACATCGCTCACCTGAGCACTATGGCTAGGAAAAAGCAGAATTGGTTTATACTTGAAAAGCTTACATGCAAAACTAGTCCCAAGACCAATCATGGCTTTGCTATTCTTGAGAAGAAGATTTCAAAAGAATTTTCCTATATATTTCTAATGCCCTGTTCACACGGCGAGTTTAATTCGCAGTAAATTAATGCGAAGTAAATGCGAAGTAAAATAATGCGAATTAAAATAATGCGAATTAAATTGCGTTCACACGACAGTTAATGCGAAGTAAACTAATGCGAATTAAAATTCTACTTCTACGGCCAGGCGTCAGTAAGGCTATTATGACGTCATTTGCAAATCACGTCACCTTATGCAGGAGCAGATGCATTTGACATAATGTCAAAGTGTCTGGAGACATATTTTAGTGATTAAGACATTTTTCCATAGTTTTTCAATAAAAAATAGCACAAATACTTCAAGCTTACCACGGATATGTGGCATTTGACCTAATTTTGCCATTACGCATGCCTCAAGATTTAATTCGGATTAGCTTCGCTTAGCGTTCACACAGAGCTAATGCGAAGTAATGTAATGCGCAGTAAACTAATTCGAATTAAACTAATTCGCAATAAATTCTCCGTGTGAACGCTAAGCGAAGCTAATTCGAAGTAACTTTACGTTCAAATTCGAATCAAACTCTCCGTGTGAACAGGGCATAAGTAAATCTTTGATCGGCCATTTTGGCCCCACCCTACCCCTGGGGGTCATGATTTGAA